ATTTGTTTCTGGATAAAAGATAGCTTTGAAATCTCAGTGCTGTGTCAAGTCAAAAATGGGATGACTGTTGGGACGGGTATTTCCTGGGTGAATTAGATTTAATAATGATAGGAATTTCATATATTGTATACACACTCGACGGGAAAAATAGTTTAAGGCTAGACCAAGATATTAATATATCTATCTAATGAAAGGGGTGGTATGAATCTACACAGCCTCAGGAACAAACCTTGACCCCAACTCACTTAAATAAGGCTCTGCTCACCTGTGTGAAGGGAGAAAATACAAACTCTTTGGAGGCAGTTCCCCCTATTGTGTCTAGCAGTTCAGTTGTGTAGGGCAAAATTCATAATTACTGTAAATTTTCTAATATTAATGAACATGTAATGTTTTTTTAATGTCCCTTATGCCTGTTGCACAGCAGCAGCTAATCTTGAAAGACTCATTTATTTTTTAATGATGTGCAGATTTGCATTTGGGGGGGGGGGGGCCAGGGGAATAAGTTGCATTTGGGGGGGGGGGGTCCAGCAGAATTACAGGGAGACTATGCTAAGAGTCATGTCATGTTTTTTCATTATTTTGCTTCTTCGACAGATAATTTCTATAGCAAAACTGGTCTGTGAGGAAAACTCATTTGGTTCATGTTGTAGATAACAGTAATTGCCATCTCTTATCCATAATTGAGTGTGACGTATGACTGGCTATATCATTTGTTATAGAAGTAATATTTGTGTAAATCTCAATCTGACCAAGAATTTCTGTGTTCAGTCGTGAATCGGTTCATTGTTCGTGAGGAAGTTTCTGATTTTCCTTGGTGCACAAAGAGAAGTCAATGCTGGAGGAGCTGAAGGGCAGGTTTAGTCAATAGCTCCTTGCCTTCCTGCACATTGGGAATACAGAAGCACTTACCTGCAAGGTGGAATAACCTACTCGATATGAATTTAACTACAGAGCACACAAAGGATGGGACTCGTCTTGCTGATGTTGTTAAGAATTAGGTGTCTGGCATAGGTGTGTAATCAGTAATGAGATTTGGAGATGTCTGGCTTTGAAATATGCAAAGATGAATCCAGCCCTGAAAGTGCTCACAGAAGTAATTTAATTACAGCCAATGCCACGTGTTATTAAAGCTCAAGTTCCTCCTGGGTGACTTCAGGTCTATAGCAAAAGAGGAGTATAGTCACTGTGGGTTCGTCTATATTATGTGGAAGAAGGCTCTATGACTCTGCTAGACTGTTCAGCCTATCCGAGTTGCAGCCCAAAAGTGTCTGTATCTGACCATGAGCAAAGCCCACCCTGACTAGTTTCTTATTTCAGTGTCTCTCTTCATTCCCTGAGTTTAGACTGGATCACTCCAGTGCAGACAAACACCATTACATCTCTTTCATTACATGAAAAAAGAGAAAGATGTATTGAAAAGATGTTACTACGGAAATGAGACTCTGCTTGCAAGTTATATTTTTGTAATCATACAAAAAACCCACTGGTATTGGAAAAAGACTCCAGTATTTTCTCTAATACGAAAATATGGAACTGAAAATCTGTGACAAATATGAATGAGTTCTATAAAATACAGGTTTTTTGGTACTTGTTAAGGAAATAAAACAATAAAGTCATATGGAAGAAGTCACAGAACTAAATTTACTTTGTTACTATATCAACATATCAGCAGTCAGTCAGTTTTAAATTTAAAACAGGTTTATATTTAGAAAAGAAGCATTTTAGAATTTGACCTGGTATTTGAAATATTTATTTTATCATATAATAGTTTCTTGATGTTCCAAACTTTTCATTGGTTGTAGCTCACTTTTCACTATGTATAAATAGCATTTTAAAAATTAATATCTATATTAAGAATTTGTTTGCCACTGAAAAACAAAATGCACTGTGAAAATATGGTCTAAATTATCTGTCCTGATCTCTGTCAGCCCAGGCTATTTAACTTTTCTAAACTGTCCAACCAAACTGTTGTTTGCTGCTGCAAGACAAATTATTTTAGATGTAAAATACCAATAAATAAGCTTTAACACTGTGAAATGATCTGTCCACAGAAATCTGTTTCCTACATAGACCATTTAGATTTCTAGTTCCTAAATAGAGAACTATATCTTTTCAACGTTTTTACCACTTAATGCTATTGTAGAAAGAACTTTTTAATGTAGCTATTACCTTGATTTTGCCATCCTTAACAATGGCAAGTAGGATCCTGCTGTGTTTATATCACTGGAGGACTCAGTTGGAGGACATGCAAGTAGGTTCTGCTTCCTTATGAGTGGAGGTAAAGGTCTTGACAATAGTGATATAGTATTACTTCAAATCTCAAACTCTACTTATGACTGTTTAATTATATCAACATATGAGGAACTTGAGATTTAGGCCTGTTTACCTTCTAAAAGATGCTACGCACCTTATTCAAAGGACAGCATCTTAACTGACCCCTCCAGAGCCTTGCCTTTAGAAATAGTTAACATAAGAAATAGTCACAAGAGCAGCCATTGGGTTTATAAGACTGGTAACGTTAGCACTGATCATGAACAGATGTTCAGACCATGTTTAATTTAACACGTTGTTGGTCTGTAATCACTTTTTCTTTTTTTTCTTTGTTTAGCCACCAGACAATGGGCCTCCACCATTGCCAACATCTTCCCTTCCTGAAGGCTATTACGAAGAGGCAGTGCCGCTTAGTCCTGGGAAGGCTCCTGAGTACATCACTTCCAGTGAGTAGTATATTTCCGGATCAGTTTCTGAGCAATTGGTAATTCCAGTGTCCTTCAACTTTTTTAGTATTTGACAGCTACATCTCTATTAGTGCTGTGGTGATCTGTCGTAAGCATGGCTTTGACCTTTTGGTGTCAGTTCTGGTTATCCTCAATGGCCGTGAATTGGTTTGGTTTCCAGAACTGTTTTGGTGGACACAAACCAGGCTCCTTTGAGAGGAAACTAAACCTGGAGCTCAAGTTAGGTGCACAAAAACATGTTTCAGCTGCTACTGGAGACAGAGGGTCCAAATCAGCCACTAGTCTTTTGGACAGCTTTGAACAACGAACGTGGCAGGGGCATTGGACCAGGAGTCCAGAGTTAAGTATCGCCCAGAGTAAACCCCTCCAAACTGGCACTACTGTAAGCATAGAGGTCTCAGAAACTGGTGCTGATCTGCAGATCTACTGATTGCCTCTATTTCACTGAATTACTTGCTAAAGTAGACAAATAAAAAGAAAAAAGGAATTATTGAAAAGAGGTGATTTGCAGCATTTCTGATGACACATTGTGGAAAGGGATAAATCAGTCGTACTGGCTGCCTTAAGCCATGTTTGATGCACATGACAGTATTTTTGTGACCACTTGTTCAGTTTAGTGCAAAAGACAGAGGACTGCCTCTGAACTGACTCGCAGAATGTCCTTCTGCAACACACACTCTAATCCAAATCTTTATCCGAAGACCTATGCACTTAAATGGAGCTATGCTGAGAGTACACTGATGCAACACTGAAGTGACTGCGGTTAGCATTTACACCTGGTCAGTCAACAGGATATTATATACCAAAAAATTGCAAAGATTTTCGTTTTTGCTGCTTTTTTATTGGCTGGGGTAATTTATTGCTTGTGTATGGCTGATTTATCACTAATCGTTAGTGCCATGGTCTAGTTGACATGGTGGTGTTAGGGCTAAGGTCACACTCAATGATCCCAGAGGTCTCTTCCAACCAAACCAATTCTGTGATTCTGTGATTATTTTCTGTGGCCTGAAGATTAAAGGCATATCTTCCCTCATTTTATAGCCATTTTTATTATTTGAACCACAACAAAGGAATAAAAGGATATCTCTGTTCTTAAAACATGCATAGGAGTAACCTTAGAGCATTAATTATTCGTTTGGACACTGCGCCAATTGAGGTTATCTGGCAGCTCTTAATTTACCTAAGAAATTCAAGGTAAGAAAGCGTTTCATACACTGTAAAGCAAACGAAGGAGGTTACAGTCTTAGCAGAGCAGCAGAATCACTCCTCTCTTCATTTCCTCCCTTGAAATGCTGCAGGGTGGTCTGCTGCACACTGTTATCCGGTGAACTGCTGATTTGTGTTTTGTCATTAAACAAGAGTCATACTCAGGCAGAAAAATATTAATAGTACAAATATTAATAGCACTGCTAAAGGATTGCCTAGGGGAAAAAAAAGACAAAATATGAAACTGATTCCTTATTGTACTTAACCATCCAAATCCATAAAAATATTTAGGGTGTCAGCCTTAAAAGTTCATTAATAATTCCATAATTTAAGTATATCTATCCAGACATTTAAAGCTGTTAGTGTAACTTATCGTCTCACTTGCTGTGATTTTGCTATATTTTCTTATGTCCTGAACTCCTTATCATCTCTTTTAATTTGTGTTAAAAGTATTCCACTCTTCATAGGTAATAAAGTTGCTTTTAAATTCTGTATGCCATTAGTCCAGATACATTGTATGTATCTGGACTCAAGTAAAACTTCCACTAAGTCCAATTGTGTGGTAATTAAAATAAGCCACCAAAGCTGTGTATTAACCAAAGATGTAACCTTAGCTGTTCAGAATGTTTGAGATGTAGAAGACCATAACCAGGAAGTGCTAAAAGTATAAGAAGTGCAAGAATAAACTGTTAAACAACTGCTGGGATAGATATCATTATCCTAAGTAAATATTCTTATGGAATATTTTTGTAATGTCATTAATAGCAAGGAGGCTTACATACTATGTGTCCTACCTGTAAAGGCAAACAGGAACTGAAGACAATTGCGGAATATATATCATGAAAATTACATATCTGTAACTTCCCCAAGTCTCCGTAATCTGTTTGTAAATCTAGATGAAAAGACTCTATGTTCCTTGTCTGGTAGCTCTCTTTCTCTTTCTTAAAAACTACTGCTCTGTACAATATGCCTAAATTATTACAGACTGATCTTTGGAATATGCTATTACAAATTATGTGAAAGTCTGCTGTGATTTTCACCCGTTAACAGTGGAAAATTTGGCTGAAAATAAGTGTGAAAAGACAACATCAAAAGAAGCTAGAATAATCAGAAAATACAGGAGATGCGAAAAAAGGGGAATTAGCAGCATCGAAAAATGTTGTATCAGTACATCATAAGTCTCTGGACTTTAGTAGACTTAATAAAACCACTTTACTTTGGAAAGAGATTTTTCACTTTTTCTACACTTGCTAGTTTGCATCTCAGAGCCTGAAAGCCTTGTTTTGGATGTGATACAGCAGTTTGGAGAAACAAAGAAGTGGGTTGTGGCAAAGAACAGCAAAGTTTCAGCGAGGATGATTTGAGTACTCCAAGGTGGTCACCCTTCCTGATGTGGATCACACAGCAAACTCTTCTTCTGGCCAAGGGTCCCACAAACCAAGGAGAAGAGAAACATGAGGAGTAGTTAATGGGCAGGATATGGCAACAGATCCCCAGAGATCCCTTTAGACTGTCTGAGGATGGGAGCCTCAGAAGCTCCTGTTGGCTTTCATCTTCCTATAAGCAGAGATTCGGATGAACCTGCAGCTGCTGTGCCAGCAGAGTCCCTTTGCTGATCATGCAACTTATGGCTAACAAGAAATTTGCACTTGGACTGCTTCTGAGCTCCATAGAAGTACCTGTAGGATATTTAACATGCAGAATTTTAGTCTCTAGTTTAAAGTCTCAATCAGCACTTCCTACAATTAATTTTTTAGAAACTGGTAAAACTTGCTGTAAGAAAAAAAATCGTAAGATTCAATGTTACGAGGAAAAAGCAGTGATTTAAGTCACTAACTTTGCTGAAAAGAAGGTGAGATTGTTGCATGGGGTTTATGGTAAGAAGAAAAATAACCTTTTGATATATGGCAAAGAGATGACAGATAATTTTATCGAAGATTAAACACTGTTTTCTACAATATGAAAAAGTTAAATCATGAATGTGTTGAAAGAGATTCAGGTTTTGTATCCTTTTGACTGATGCACTTAAAAATGCAAATGGAGAAGGCATGTTTGATAGACCATCCTCTGACAGAAACATCTTTGGCTCTGTCATGCAAACATTCCTTCTTCAGTGTGTACTCAGAGTGTAGAAAAATGACCCAGCTCCATTCTCTTGGGAGGACTATATTTGAGGAGTGTCCCTCCTCTACAGTCATGTTTCAGGTTGATCTGATGAAAATTAACCCCCAGATACTCTTACATGGAAAAGGTGGTTTCTTAATTTTGAAGGAAAAATCTCATTAGTCATTAAACAGAAAAATGCTAGTAGAATAGTATTTCCATATCTCAGTATATGAGTAGTGACTTCTTACTTCTCCTTCTTACCGCAAAAAAATTTAAGTTTCAGAATAATATTGCCAAAACTAGGAACAAAATCACAAATGAGGTAAAAGAGTATTGTAGAAAGGGAGCAAACGTCAAGATGAGCATTGTGACGGTGGTGTAGCTGCAACAAAGATCACTACTAAATTTGAAGAAGGGATGAGGAGCTTCTGGGCACCTAAGTATTACTTTTTTGGAAAGGCAGGAGTTAAAGATGAAGTTCACAGAGAGACAGCAACTTTAGATTATGGCAGTTTGTCCCTTAGCCTGTGCTTGAAGATGCTGATTTAATGACTAGACCTTACATCTTCATATTTGGTAACACCATGTGAATCATTCTGACTCTGCTTCAAACAGGCTGGCATGCTGCTGTGTGTTTGAGACTGGTTGATGATCTCTCAAGCATTTCCTGATGTTTCTCTGTGAAAGTTTGTGGATAGCCACTCCAAAAGGAGGTCACAGGGGGAGAATGTTTTGGTTTGGTTCTGGTTTTGGTGGGTTTTTGTTTAGGCTTTTTTCCTGCTTCATAGGGAGGAAGGAGGAAGAGAGGGATGAAGTGTCAAGTTCTACCAGATCTTACACATTCTTTTAAACAAATACGCAAAAATAAATACTCTGGAATAATAATCTGTCAGTTTAAACACCTACCTTAAATTTTTCCATCTTTCTCTTGATTTTTGTAAAGCAAGTGAAAAATTGTGGTGTTTTCCCATTGATAATCATCTGAGGCTTTTACCACTTGGCTGTATGGAGCTGCCCCAAACCAAACACTCCATAGCAGAATTGACCAGAGGACCACAATTTAATAGTTTTAAAAAAAAAAGTTTCCAGAGCTTTAGATTTTATTTTAAATTCATTTTGGAATGAAGATATACTGTTTTGTACCCTTTTGCAAAAACATAAATCAGATCAGAGTATCTAGTCTTGATTCAGAGATGTGAGGTCTGGTTATATCCCGTTCTGACTATGCACGTAGGGAGGAACTGATGTAGAACGAGCTTTCCAGGAGTCCACTCTCTTGTCCTCTTCCCAGTTGTCCCAGGTCTCCTTCCTACATCCCAACTGTGTTCTAAATATCTAGCTAAAGCAAATAAGAGATTTTCTTGTAACTTCTGGCCTAAAAATGTATCAAAGTCTACTTGAAATGTTTAGATGAAATTTCAGCTGTTAAAAACATTCCAGTCAATTCTCCTCCAAGGAAGCATGCACCAGTGGATAACAGGCATGCCTTCAGGTGTTATTATCTGAAGGCCTTTATGTGTATATCTCTCTCCACATAAACAAATAAACAAATAAATATGGATGGTGGAAGAGAGGGTTCTGTGATAATGGCAAATCAGTTTTGTAGTTGAGGGGACTGCTAGAGCTGGCTACATTGTTGAAAATTAAAGGCCTGAACAAAGATTGTTTGATTAAAAAGGAATCTTGCCATTGCATCACCAACCTTGGAGCAGGATTAAGCTGTTTAGACTAAGCACGTAACAAAACATTTTTTTGCAGAATGCCTTTAACTCTAGCAGAATCTGTAGTGCAAGGAACGGCATTGTCTGTTCAACGTAGATTATATCAATGCAGGTGCTGTATTTGAGAATTGTATGAAATGTTATGATAGATAGATAGTGCCTATAAGGTACTCTTGTGATTTTTTTCATATTCAGTGTTTGTTTCTTGATATGCTGTACTAATATTGACATTTCTGTGCCTACATTTTGCATTATGCAATAGGGCCAGATGAAGAGGTTTCCCTGTAAACAAATTACAAAAGATGAAGGTATCTGGCAAATAATATTTTCAAGATAATAAAAAAATACCTAAAATTCTAGCTATGTATTCCCAGGTTATTCTTTCGGTTAAAATTCCCAAGGTGTCTGTATGGGTATTCTATAAAGTTTCATAATGGAACAGCATCTCTTATTCAATTAACTTAATATATTGATACTAGTAAGCACTCAAACAGTAATCTGTTCAGGTCTGACTTTCAAAGGCCTTAACTTAAAATGGACCCTGTTGAGATTTTCAGTTATTTCAGTATGCTTCATGGCTAAATGTTTTAACTTGACACTTTTACACTTTTCTTAAAGATTATGACTCAGATGCTATGAGCAGCTCTTATGAATCCTACGATGAAGAGGAGGAGGATGGAAAGGGGAAGAAAATGAGACATCAGTGGCCTTCTGAGGAGGCCTCTATGGATCTGGTGAAGGATGCAAAAATCTGTGCCTTCCTCCTTAGAAAGAAACGATTTGGGCAATGGACCAAACTACTGTGTGTTATCAAAGAAAACAAACTGCTGGTAATTTTTGGTTTTATCTAGCTATTTTTTCTTTGTACTTTTTAGATTATGTATTTATTTTTACAGGAATCTGGTTTTTGCAATATGTTCTGCAAACAGTGGCCAAGTCTACAGTAACCTTACCAAAGAGTTCGGTCATGATTTACCCAAGAAGCAGAGAAGCGCTGCAATTATAAGTGGATCGTTTAGCCACTTAGAACTTTGATTTTTATTGCACTTAAACTTAAACCTAGGCAGTTACCTGATATTGGAAAGAAAGTCTGGCCTATTACCTTCTAACACATTTCATTTTGAAAAAAAAATTGCTGAAACTGTAAATCCAATCTGTCATTCCCTGCGGACAAAAAAATCTCATAGGGAGCTTTGTGTATGAACTGTTGGATCAGACCACTGGAGAGAAAAGTCCCTTGTTAGACTGAGAATTCACTTGGCAGCATATGCTATGGTAATGTATACACTTTAAACTAAACCTTTGCCATCTGTTCTGCACTAATTACAGATGCAGTATTCACATGATGCACAGCTGCATTATAGAAAGGAAAGAAACAAGTGGATGTGTTTGTTCCTTAAGCAAATCTGGTTTTGCGTCTTTCTGATTGGAGGCAGCAGTAAAAGATTCCATAAGTTAGTAAATTATCTGCTTATAGATGTCTTTTTATTTTCTGAAAAGAGAGCCTGATTGAGGGAAACATTTATTTCTGTGTCATTATAAGTGAACTAATGCTTACAGTAATAAATAAGTTGGGGTCTTAGGCTCTCCCTGCCTTCCTATCTGTGCTTCCAACAGTTATAACTAATTATGTAATTAGTTACTAATAGTTACTGCAATATTACAGACATTAAAAGCTGATTAGCAGGTGATAGAATGTTTTCTGTAGAACGTCATTATTCTACACTGGTGCGATGTAGCTTAGGTGTGTTCACTTTCCAAGTACATTTATGCTTATAGTGGTATACGAAATAAAAGGATATGAAATAGAGGTATGTGAAAAAGAGGTAAGAGTTTTCTGAAAACATAGTTGGAATTGATTGCTAGTTTTCAGTGGTTACTGAGGATTTAATTTTTGTATCCTTCTCTATTTAAATGTTGAAAAGAATGTTGATTCTGATTCAGTTTTTATTATATTGTTATAATGACACTATCTTTAGTCCACATTTTTATCACCATATATCAGGATCATATCAGATTTCAGGACTGTCTGATAACAGCTTGAAGAAAAGAAAGAAGGAAATAAACAGATTTTTCTCTGAAGTCACACGATATTTCTTCTACAATTATGTTTGTTGTTCTGTATAGAAATTTGTTATTTTTTCTGTTTTCATTTCCTTTAGCTGCATGTGTGGTCTGAAAAGCTTTTCTTTTCCTTACAGGGATTGTCTTTCAGTAATTCTGTAATGGGGATTAAGAAAATGAAAATCACAATAGGAGTCTAATGACCAAGTTACACAAGATTGGTTTATTATTTGAAGGAGGACTTAGACATTTAACTTAGGAGATATGCAAGTAAAGCATAATATGTTCTTAGAGATTAGTAATTGCTTGTGTTGTAAATGCAGCTGTTATCATAAAACCAAAATATTTTAATTAGAATTAGACATTAGAAATAACTTTTAGTAGGGAATTATTTTTCACTTAAAGTACTTTATTATATAAGGGAATTATATGCTGTTTATCGCTTCTTAAAGTGACTAATGTTGTATGTTTTCAAGTTTTCATAGCTTGAAAACTTAATATTTTTTTAATGTTACAAACTTAAAATCTGTGACCAAGCTAGAGAACCTTTGAGTTAATGAGCTTTGGAGAGGGAAGGAAGATCATGAGTGATTTGCAGAGGCTGGTTTAGAGTGGGTCTATTTGCTCAGCTCAAGTTGTAGTGTTTATAACATACTCTAACAGCTACTGTCTTCCTGATAGTTGCATCATGACATGAATACTGCTGCAGACATGCAAAAGTTCATGTACTTTTCTCTGTTCACATTTATATTCAGCTATTCTATGCATTCATATGCTAATTAGTCTTCTTTACTAGCAGATACATTCTTTATTATCAGATATCTTTTTAGCCTTTGTTCTTATTTGTATGAGTGAAAGCCCAATTTGCGTAAGTATAGAAAATAAATGGATATTTATACACACAGTTAAACGTTGTTCTGTAGTCTGGCACTGGCGACAGCTTTAAGAACCTCAGCTGTACTAATGTGTTGAAAGGTGGGAATAGGGACTGGGTCTATAGGACAAGTGAGATGATGTGGAACTCTTCATCTTTAGATCAGTTCAAACATAGAGAGGTCATTGGTGATCCAGCATGAAATGGCTGTTCATTGACAGCATTTACTAATGAGGGGAAAAAAACATCGCATAACTCATAGTTTTAGCCAGGAGCTTACAAAGTAAACTGACATGGAGATTTATGCAGTTTTATGCCGTGACTATTAAAGTGTATTAGCTGAAAAGGTGGGACTTTGCCCCCCTTCCACACTGTGACAATTTTTATTTTTTTTTCCTTATCTTAAGAAAAAGAACAGCTGAGTAAGGCATGTGCTAGTGTCTTTGTAACTGCAGTGTGTAGGCACTGATGTAGATTTGCCTTGATATGCTGGGCTGTTGCCAACGGGCAGGGTAAACATCTGGGCTTTAAAGTCTTTTAACTGTACAAGTTTATTCTTCTGGTATGTGTGAACAGATATCCTAAATCACCCTCTTCCTACCTGGTGAAGGTCAAGGTTGAGTCATAAGGATAACACAGAGAAGCTTAATGCTCTCCATATCTTGTACCTGTCCTGCAATAAAAGATGTCTATTGATGTGAGTCTGGAAGTAATTTTGATTTACAGGGGGGATGACATGGAGAAATGCAAAGTTGGCATTGGCTGAACCCTGTGGTATGTGGTAAAGGGATGCATGAAAAATATTAAAAATTTTAAAAATATCTTTTCTATATAGTAACAGCTTTCCCCTGAGGTTCAGAAAGGTAATATCTAACTTTTGAACTTCTGTTGCTTTTATTTAGTGTTACAAAAGTTCCAAGGACCAGCAGCCCCAGATGGAGCTGCTCCTGAATGACTGCAGTATCACGTACATTCCCAAAGACAGCAAAAAGAAGAAGCATGAGCTGAAAATCTCACACCAAGGAGCAGATGCCCTGGTTCTGGCAGTGCAGAGCAAAGAGCAGGCAGAACAGTGGCTAAAGGTAAGGGGGGATTTCTGACCAGGAGCTTTTCCACCCACTGAGTACTTCCGTTGCCTGCTCACTTGCTGTTAAAAACTGAGAAACAGACAGCAACTTTCAGGCAAATCCAGACCACTTAAATCCCATCTAATTTGGGACTGCAGAAATACAGACTTAGTGTTCAGGCCTGAAGCAACTTCTTGGGCAACCAACACCTCAGTATTACACAGCTGCTGCTGCTGCCTATGGTTTTCACTGCTAATTGCACAATAATCTGGCACTGAGAGGTGGTAATTTCCCTTCTGTCTTCATCTCCAGCTCTTTTTTCAGAAAGCTTTGGTGGTTAGGTTACACTGGTAGCGAGCTGAAGGTTCAAATTCCCTAAGGTGGAGGGGGCTGATACCCAGGTTGCTTTACGGAGTGGTGTATATGCATAACTGCCATAGGCTGCCCTGCAAAAATTGGGATACCAACATCACAGTCACCTTTTTAAGAAGAAGGATCTCTGAGGAGATACCTGTTTGAACTGCTCTGGATGGAGAAAAATCCTTCAGCTTCCTGACGTCAGTTCAAGTTTGCTTCTCCTGGTTTAGCAGCATATTGTCTCTTATGGTTTGTTCTGGGAATGCAGACTTCTGAGAAAGGGGATTTTGTCATCTTCCACTCCTTTCTGTTTAGTGTCTGCAAATATGGAAAATCCCAATGCAAGGGCTGCAGTTTTAGATCCTAACCAGATTACTAGTATTTATGTAGGATTTTGCCAGTCTCAAACATGGAGGTCAGTGGAGAAGTGTGGGAAACTATCACTGCAGTTTCAGTAGCTTGTTTTAAGACCTTGAAATCCAGCCTTTTAAATGCATGTAAAAGACTGAATGCATAAGACTTGTCAGGCGTTCCCCATGCTGTGCTCTGATCTAACCTTATATGGTACTTACTTTTCTAAGAATAAATTGTATTTTTCCAAATACAATCAAATTAATCATGTAGGAATTTCCTGATGGCAGATAGTTTTTCTGCAGAAGAGGGAGAATAAAATGCAGTTTAAGACGTACAAGTTCTGCTGTGGGCTAATTTACTAGATGGAAAATTAATCTGTAGTTTCCTATTTTGTAATATTTGGAGATACCTTTTGGGGGGTTGTGGGGGCTGTGTGTGTTTGGTTTTGACTGTGAGTTTGTATCTTAGTTTCGAAAATGCACTCTCTATTGTCTTTTTAATAGAAACTAATCACAGCAGTTAGACTGTTTCTAACACCAGTGTCTTGTTTGATGTTTCAAAATCTGGCACCATCCAAGGGTCCCGCTAACTCACCTAGAGTTTCAAAAACACTGATTGGAATGAAAAAAAATTAATAAGTCATATTCTTTTCCAAGGGAATTCCGCTGTAATTAGATCATCGTAACTACACCATTATTTCCTGTGTTGTTCTAAACTTGGGTTTAGTAATGCTGAATTCATTGGTATTTATCAGACTTCCGTTCATAAAAATTGTTCTTTTTTTTTTTTAAATTGTACATAAAGCATTCCCCACACAGGCAGACAGAGCAGTGCTAGATTTTTTCATATCCCAGAAGCATCCTCGCTACTTTAAAAAAAATTTAAAAATAATAATAAAAAAAAAATTATACAGTTGCATGTTAACAAAGTTGTGTGTGCCGAGAGTGAATGACCGGATGGTATGTTATCTGCAAAGCATTTGGAGACTCTCTGGCAGCACTTTATTTAGTTCCTTCATGCTGCAAAGCTCTCTATTAATAAAA